TGCTGCAATGCTTGGCTCAGGGTGGGAGAGAGACACTCAATGTTTATTGAATGAACAGAGCAAAGGCCCCTAAGATTACGGCCCAGTCTCAGACCCTCCTCCGTACTACCACCTGCACTTATCGAGTGCTTACATGACTTTCATCCCTCACACCAACCCTGTAAGTTGGGCACCATCATTCTCATTTTACAGATGAAGAAACCGAGGCTCCCAAGGCCCAAGACCCCAAAGCTATCAAGTGACAAAGCCCGGCCTGAGTTCCTGGTAATATAGGGATGTGCTAACGAATTCACCTTCAAGGAGCAATTGTAGAGCAAGCTCTTGGCTCTTTTCCTTCAAGCCTGGGTGGACCACTCTGGGCATGCCTCAAAACCTAGCAGGCCTCTGGCAAAGTATACTGGGGTAAAGGAAGAGAGAAGCAGCTGGAGCCATGCTCCACGCAGATTCTGGGAATAGCAGGGTCCTACCCTCCCTATAAGCCCGCTGTTAATCTTCTCAGAGTATTTGGTATTTGGTCTTAGTAGCCCCACATGAGGGCCCTTCTTCCTAATTTACAAAAGACAACCTGGAGTGAGCCACCCAAAAGTCACTTCAGGCCAAGGCAGGCTCATAAAAGCTCTCCCAGGACTCAGAGAATTGAACTGCATCTCTGGCTTTCTAGAGATGTAGACAAAGCATTTTGTTTTCGATGGAGTTCTTTTCCCCCTTTTCTTTGATCATTTTCTCGATTTCTCCCCTCTCTAGTTCAGGCTTTTCCTGTAACACTTGTATTGGACACACGCTTTTTCTCCTCCTTGCGGAGACTATTATATCTTGCTATTGTGTTCCTTTTCTGTTGAAAGCAATCAGAAATGAAAATCCACATTTCAGAACAGTGTCTATTAAATACGCACCCTTTTTGCAGTTGAAAAAAAGAAAGCACTTTCTGAGGGCTGATTTTCAGCTCTGTGTAGCACCTAAAGATTAGATATTGGCTGAGACTCTGCACCATCACAGGCCATTTGCATTTGATAATTGAGAGTGACAGCAGAAAGTCTGGAGTCAGAGGCAACTTATTTTAAGGAATGCCTTAGTCTAAAGTGTTGCCAATCAAAGTGTGGTCCTTGGACCAGTGGCAACTGCTTCAACTAGAAGCTTATTAGAAATGCAGAAGCTCAGGGTCCACCCCAGACCAACTGAATCAGAATTTGCCTTTTAACAAGATACATGTGCACATTAATGTTTTAGGAGCACAGGTTTAGAGCTAAGGTGAATTTGCTTTTGTTGCCACTCTGGAGCCTCCATGTGGGTTTCTTTACTAAGAAAGAAAATCTCTGTTTAGTGAACTCCATAGGACATCTCACACCATTCTTCCCTGCTCAAACTGCTTATTCATAGGGGAATTCTGAAATAATAAATATTCTTCCAGAAATCATACTCTCAGCGTGAAGGAGTTCAAGGTGAAAGGAAGCTGGTGGCTGGCCTTTCTGCAGTGTGTGAGTACCTAAAAAGAAAGAGCACAGAAACTGAGAGGGGACAGGCAACCCTACCTCCCAGCCCCTCCTCCAAGGCTCTGGATCTTTTTGCTTGGCATGTCCCCTTCTAGGAAGGGAGGAGAAACAGACATACTAGATGAACCATGAGACCCAGGGGGCCATGCTGTGCACTGAGCTCTGAGATCCTTGAGAAGGACGTTCTGTAAACACAAATGGGCAGAACCAAGAAAGCAACAGTGAAGACACATGTAGATGAACCTGATAACTAATCTCATCTACCAGGAGAAATGGACCAGGAGGATGGAAAATCCCATGGACCTGGTTTGAGGAAGTGGAAGCCAGAATTGGGAGGTAAGAGGGGAGGGCACGAGATGACCCAGGCTCATCCATTCCCACTAGCCCGCGAAGCAGAGCCATTGTCCAGAGTGGAACAGAGGCCCAGACCAGATCCCCCGCAGGCCTCAGAGGTGCTGGCCTGGCCTCACCTTTGACCTTGTCTTCTATGAGGAGGAAGCCTGTCTCTGAGACATTTCTATAAAAAATAAGAGCACCAAAAAAGTTACCCCGTGTTAAAGCACAAAAACAAAAATAAAAAGAACAAGTCCGCACTGAAAGCAAGCATTTTCTCACTACTTCTGGCAGCCGTGCACATCACAATAAACACCTTCATACTCTGGGTGTCTTTCCGATGTCTAAGTGTGGCACTGGACTTATTGATTGCTCTGTGTTAAAGCCCAATTCATCACCCAACCCCACCCCCGCCACTTTTGCTAATTTTTCACACATTTTTTTCCATCTTCACCTTCAAATTCTCTGAAACACAATATTTTAAAACACTAAAATGGTTTATTTATACCAATCAATACTTGTTTTTCAACCAATTATAATTTATTTATATATGAACAGTATTTCAGCTCTGGAAACAGAATTCTATCCTTTTAACATGTCCACATCAGCAAATTCTCAAGGAAAATTTGCAATGGACAGGAACGACGGACATCAATAAGCAGTGGAGGCAGGCAGGCTCTTAAGCTCTGAAATTCAGACTCCGTCTGTCTTCCTCTACCACAACCAAAAGACAGCACCTCCCCCAGAACCGAGTACCCTGTAGATGAGCCGCCTCATCTCAGCTAACTTCCACTCTTAGAAGAGCCCTTGACTTCATTCTCCTGTAAATCAGACCTGGATAAGCAAAGCAATCTTCCAGGACCACACCTGAAGGAAAAACTCTGCATCCCCTCCCGCCCCTAACATGCACAGACATGTTTGAACACACAACCTCTCAAGGAAAGAGAAAGTAAACTTTCACATACACTTGCCCCTCAGCCAGCCTGCCGTGTTTCAGAGCCTTCACATTCTCAAAGGCGGTTCTTGTAACTCTTGCTAAACCAAGAGGCTGAAACTTGATCTCTGTCTGCTGAGGGCACGGACAAGGGTCACAGGTCCACAAACACACCGCTTTTTTATTTCCCCCTCTCTCTTGGCCAAAGTGAGACTAAGGGGCCAGGCTTTACCGTCCTTCCTTCAGAGAAGCCAGGCTGGGCCGCGGGGGGAAGCTCCAGACAGAATGAGGGTGTGTGAAAGCATCTGTGGGGGCTCCACAGAGGAATTTTCTGGGAACTCCAAGGCTTTTAAAGAAGGGGGGTGTCTTACTCTGGGTGGGACACAGGGCCCTTCGGGTTCTCAGGTACCCCTGAAGTCTGGGTGTATGGGGGGCGGTGCAGGGCTGTCGGCGAGCCAGGCTCCCGCTCCCTGCCGGGCCATCCCGGACCCTCCTGTCGCAGCGGGGTCACTCACCGCCCGTGAGCTGCGCAGGGCCGAAGCACAGCGCCAGCTGAAACCACAGGATCACCGCCAGGAGTCTCTGGGGGGACTGAGGCTGCGGCGGCGGCTGCTGCTGTTGCTGCTCTAGAAATCCATCTCCATTGCTCGGGTTCATTCCATGATACATCTTTCATCCACAGAGGGCATCCAGCTTGCAAGGGTCTGCAACCAGAGGCGGAACGCGACAATACCCCAGGATGCCCGGGCTCGGGGGGCCACGCTCCCTTCCTCCGCCCCGGGGCTCCATCCCCCGCGCGCTCCCCGCCTCCCCCGCGCGGGGCACCCTGAGCACCAGCGGCCGTGGGATGCCGCGCGCGCCCGCAGAATGGAGGAGGAGGGCAGGCAGGGGTCAGCGCGCACGGGCCCTGCGCCGCTCGCCGGGATTCGGTGGTCGTGACCGTGACAGGAAAGTCTACAGCCTTCCAGCGTCTCGGGCTGAGAACACACTTTTCCCTGGGCCTACCCACTGCACTCTCAGGAGCCTCCCAATGTGGCACCGGCTCCCCCAGCGACTTCTTCGCTTCTCCCCGGGATCGGGATGGGTCCTGCAGCCCAGTCCCCAGTGAGATTTCTCTGCGCGGTCTACCGCCCCCCCGCCCCGGGGGCAGAACCAAGTCCCCCGCCCGGCCCGCGCGCGCCCGCCCGGGATGCAGAGCCGCTTCCGGGGCTCCCGGTCTTACCTGCGGGTCTCATGCATGCAGCGCCCTGCCCTCCTCCGCCTCCTGCCCCCGCCGCTCTCACCCGCATCTGTGCGCGACCTCTGCCG